CTTGCTCACCTCAATCCGTTCTACGTTCTCACCAAGGGTCATCATGGGACTTCGGGACACCCTGTATATGCTCTAAGATAAGGTTTTTCCAATATGTATCACCATGTGATACGCGGATATTAGAAGCGTTTACGTTGCTAACTTTGTTTTGCTCTACTGAGTTCCTTCTTTTGCCGTTGTTTGGTCCTGGAGCGCTACAGATGTTGACAGACGCCTAGAATCGCCGCTAGCGGTCTATGGTTATATAGTCAAAGGTTGCACCCCCACTCACACATACATAAAGCACATGGACAGTCACTGCTAGTGTCAATGATTTTCAATTGCAATATCCCTAGACACTTTCATGCATACGGCGCCACAAGTTGCATTCCAATTAAATATATAATGTTGTGTTGTAATCGTCGACACAACATTATACATCCGTACTCAGCTCAAGGGCTACTAGTCGGCTGTGTAAACTATTTTTTTTGTTAAGGCAAAGGAAATGCATTACGCATATCCCCGGGGAATACGGGACTTCTCCAGGGGTAATGTAAGACTCTCCCCTTCTCGACAAAACCGGGGAGGGGGCCTACCTACTAAAACCTCTGCCGGGCCCTTTGCGGTCATCAAGAGGGTGGCCCGGGAATCGCTCGCGCATAACTTCTGGGACGCCCTCGGCCGCCGGGCGGGTCTGACTAACCCGCCCCCACTCCCGGGCTGGGGGGGGGGGCAACTTCCTCCTCGGCCCGTTCCTCCGATCCCCCGCGACCGGACGTGGGGCCCCACGTCCGGTCACACCATTCCCACTAGGAGTGTTATAGGCCAGGCCCGGTCCTGTCCGGACCCGGCACGCCCCTACGCTCCTGACCAAGATTATGGGGTGAAGGGATCATTATGCCCCTCCACCCCTCTCGGTCAGGAGATCCCGTACTTTGGGAGGGAGGTGATGCGTTGGCGGATCGGCCACCCTGTCCCCCTCCCAGAGGCGCCTGGTTTGACTTCTCGTTACGGGAGGGGATTCACGCCTTATGCGTATGGTGCGTCTCCCCCCTTCAGCCAGGCACCTCTTATTATCTCCCCCCCCCTCGCGGGTCCTTCGGCGATTGCCGCCGGAAGGGCCTAGCGGTATAGGAGGGACCGCGCACCCGTAAGTACTCCGGCGGAGGGAACGCCAGCGGTGACGTCCCCTCCCCGTCGACGGATGCGCCGCCGGGTGGGAGAGGCGCTCTTCTTCATCGGCGCCTCTCCCCGTCCCAAGGGGCGACTCGCACCTCCATATTCGTTCCGCTTCCTTCTTCTGCGACACTGTTGTGACGATGGACCAGTCCTTATCTTCCCCAAGCATGACCCTGATAAGGGCCGGGGGAGAGAGGTCCGTCCCACCACCCCAATTAGGACCCGGCGCTTCTCCGCCTAGGAGGAACACTCCTTCAGGGTGCGCCGTGTCGAGTCCTCCTCGGCCCCATAGTGGTGGCAGCGGGAAGTATGCTCCCTACTAATTCTATGTAGGTACTCTCCGAAACATCCATGTCTGGTGAGTACCTGCGTTGTCCGGAAAGACAACTCTCCGCGGGCGGCTGTGTAAACTAGTGTTTTCTAGTGACAATTAAAGTTAATAAACGTAGCGGCTTGAAAAAGGACTGGCACTTGCGACGTCAAGTAGATAATATTTTTTTTAATATTTCGATTTTATTATTTATTATTAAAAAATACTAAAATATAAGCACAGTTGAAAAATAATCCTAACCCTACCCAACATACGTATACACTTTATTCCAATTAAATCGTGCACAACGTTACACTTTGTGCATTTCTGTTTACATATGTGTCAAGATGTGTTAAGCAATTGGAAAGCACCCAAAATTATAGTGTTTGACTGGCCTTGGGTTAATCGCTCCGAGAGCGATTATTGACTTCATAAGTCTTTACTAGCCAATCATAAAGCTAATAAATACTTTTTCGACCAATAAACGTAGACTGAATGGGAGCGGTGCACTTGGACACGGTGCATTTGGACACAGCCAATCACAGCACCGTATGATTAGAGACATTTGTAGGGTCCCTTGGAACAGCGACTTGTGATTGGACTGTGTCCAATTGCCCCGTGTCCAACTAATATACACCCGACTGAATAACACAGAATGGGTTAACCTGGAGATCCTTTAATAAGAGATCGGACACCGTCGTCCGGTGTCCGATCGCTATGTTTTTTCGCTATGTTTGGGTCCAAACCGGAAGTATGCTTATCTCACTTTAACTTATTGCACCAGTTCAGCAGTGCAGCCAGTACAGCCAGTGCAACTGAAAAGAATAGACCACTGCTTGTGTTGTCATTCAGCTAATGATCCTAACCGGAAGTGTGTCCCAAACATGACCCAGCCAATCAAAACGTTGACATGTGGTATCCGATCTCTTATTACAGGATCTGTAGGTTAACTCAAAGCCAGTCAAACATGCTATAAGTCTCGATCTATAATAAGTGTAGTAAGCTTTAAGCCTTAAGAAATTGACCAATTACAGTCAAATTTAAGGATAATAGTCGATTGTGATTGGTCAATTTCTTAAGGCTTAAGGTTAGGCAACAGTTTTCCGAAAAGTGGAGGGGATAATGTTGGTATCAAGAAAAATCTCCACATAATATAATTTAAAGATTTGTTCTTTGTAACTGTACTACTGAACTGGTGTAATAAATTGAAACGAGACAAGTATACGTTTTCTCACTTTAACTTTTTGCATTAGTTCAGCAGTGTGCAGTTACAAATAACTGATCTTTAAATTATATCGTGTATAGATTTTCCTTGATACCCAAGGCGTATTTTTGTTATCCAACCACGATCAACCAAACCCAACCGCAGTCATTTTTGTTAGTGGTTGTGACGTCACCGATGCTAACACGTTAGTTTGGTAGGACTCAAACATTCAACCAAACCCAAGAGGTTGTTTGCGTGTTGCGTGAGGAAGGAAAATCTCACTTTAAAGTTTGGCTGGTTTGGCAAATGCAGTGATGGAAAACATAACCCTGAACCTTGATCAGCATATGCTGTGTCTGGACGATGCTGGCAATATCAAGATTTCAGAAGATCCAGAAAACCCAGGGCTTTTAGGGTGTTTGATAAACTAAGTAATTATTAAAACACCATTTAATTAATAGTTTAATATTTTAAGGTTATAATCTAATGAACTATATATATTTCAGGCAATTCTGTTTTTGTCGTCCCAGACAATAGAAAAATACCCCAATTTCTGCCGCATATGCGCTTTATAGAGGAATCTTCTGATCAACTTATCAAACCACAAGTGTGCTCTGCTGATCAAGTCGACAATGTCACTGCACATGAAGAAATATGGGTGAGAAACTCAGGTAAACCTTCGGCCTGTGATACAGAGGCAGCTAATGATCTTATTACATTGGTGGGAAATGATCGTTTTAAGTCCTTATTGAAAGATAAAACCAGCATAAAGAAGAATGTTTGGGGACAAATTCCAAAAGAAATGATGACTTTGGGCTATAATTTTGGTAATCGAGATCCTGGTACAGTTTGCTCTCAAAAGTGGAGGAACATGCAAGGAAAAACTATAACATTCATTCAGAATGGAGGGCCCAAGAGCACTGGATCAGGGAAGCTGAAGAAGCCTGCATTTTACGATGAAGTGAGAGATGTCATTAAGGATTCTGCTAAGGCGATCCCAATTAATTGTATGGACACAATGTCAAATTTGTCTAATCAGGCCTCACCATCATCAAGAGCAAGTAGTTCTTCAGGAAATAATGACAGTGCATATCCTCAAAAATCCTGCCAAAGCAGCGTTAGGAATTCTGAAGAGCCTCTGTCTGATAACGAAGCAAAATTAGCCTTCAACAAGGAAAATGTGAACCCTTTTCTGAAAGTGCAAAGAACAACTAAGGCCAAGAAACAAAAAGTTGAGAGCAGTGCCATATACAATTTTTTAAAACAGGATGCAGGAGAAAGAAAAGTGCAGAATGAAAATCTTATGAAGCTTCTTGCTCAAAAAATGGAACAAGAAAAAAAATCAAAAAGACAAATGTTGGAAATCCTTTCTAAACTGCTTGATAAGTAATGGAAATGACTTCTAGATCCATTGTCTTAAAGTGTTTAATATATTAATATATTGAACACTTGAAGACAATGGATCTAGAAGTCATTACCATTATAGAATTCTATATTTATATTTTATACAAGATACACATCCAATTTCCCATATTCGATATCCAATAAGAAAGATTGTTTTATATAAAACATACATTTTTATTGAATATCGGACATCGTACATCAGAAATAGGACGCAATGTAAATCTTGTATCATATATACTCCCCCTAATGTGTGATTCATTTTTAACCATCCAAAGGTCAATTATTAAAAAAATGTATTAATGATAAAGCAATGATTCTATTATATTGAATGCTGCCAAAGAAATATTTACTTTTTGTTATTCTAGTTAGTGTCGTTGCTTATGAAGCAGTAGCCTTGACAATGATTTTTATTTTAGTTTTAGAAATATATGTGCCAATTTTATCAAATATCACATAATATTACACATATTATGTATATAATTATTGTTGATTTTTGTTTAATTATATGTTAGTGTATGTGGCACCTCTCAAGATTGTTAGTGACAAATTAGTTTGTAATACTACGAAACGAGTCTTTAGTTTGTACTAGTAGTTTGCAATATTATTATAATTATTATTTCATAATATTTGTTGTCTAGGGGCTATCTGTTTAATTACTATTGAAATGTGATATATATGTGTTTGTGTACTAATATCTTGGCTGTATGTTGATTTTGACACACACACACACACACACACACACACACACACACA